GGAGGGGAAAATGAGGAGCTGTTGCTTAATGGGTACAGAGTTTGTGTTTGAGATGATGAAAAGGTTCTGCAAACAGAGAGTGGTGCTGGTTGCACAACACCACAGATGTGCTTACTGCCACTGAATGTGCGCTTCAGAATGGTTAAAATGGTTAAAACCACATTTGAAAAGTTCCATTCTCTGTTGATGGATGCTTGGGTTGTTTCCACCTCTGTAGCCTTGTGAATAATGCTGCAGGGAGCAGCACAAGCATGAATCTCTGCTTTCAATTCTCTTGGGCCAAGACGTAGGAGCGTGGTAGATATTTTATGTTGTATATGTTTACTACAATTAAAAAATATATATGAGAGACTGGCATGTGTGTGGGGAGGTAAGAATGGTTGGGAAAACAGTTGGATTAGGAAGGGCCTTCCGTATGTCGGTTAGGAGTTAGAGTTTCATTTAGAAAGCAGTCACCATGGTGGGATTTTGAATGAGGGAGTGACAAGATCAGTCTGCATTTTAGAAATATCAGGTTGCCATTATTATCAGTAAGAATTCTCTTTTTATTGTTGGGGATTCACTGAGGGTACAGTCAGTAAGAATTATTAGAAAGAATACTTGTGTGCAGTCTGAAGGATTTGGGGCAGACCAGGGCTTGGCTCTGTCTCTTTGGAGCAGGAAGGGCTGATTGAAGGGCAGTTAAGTAAAGGGCTCATATGAACCATGTTCTCCTCCTAGTGTAGCTGGACAACGTCATAACCTGCTAGAAAGGATGCAAAATATACCCTTAATAACCTAACGTATCTGCCAAATTTTTTTGCTTATGCCTGGGAATCCCCAAAGCACACACTCACTTCTCTAATTGTAATTATTTGATCAGCATGTACTGAAATGATGGAAATGCCGTAGTTATGCTTCTTGGTAGCTGAGAGGTAACCTACACAATTGCATTGGGGTTTTTCCTGGAAATGGTTCTTTCTATTGCTCTAATTTCCCCATTTATCTTGTTTTTATGAAGTACCTCTAGACCAGGAGTACTGGCTCAGAAAAAGACATTGACCAGATTAACTATTGACCATTGAGCCAATTGCAGAATGCATAGCACTGAATACTGAAACGAAAAAAATTTTTTTTTGCAGTGTTTTTTTTTTTTTTGGCTGAGGGCTGGGTTTGAACCCGCCACCTCCGGCATATGGGGCCAGCACCCTACTCCTATGAGCTACAGGGACCACCCTGAAACAAGACTTTTTATTTCTATTTTTATTTATTTATTTATTTTTGAGACAGAGCCTCAAGCTGTCCCCCTGGGTAGAGTGTTGTGGCATCACAGCTCACAGCAACCTCCAACTCCTGGGCTCAAGTGAGTCTCCTGCCTCAGCCTCCCAAGTAGCTGGGACCACAGGCGCTGGCCACAACTCCTGGCTATTTTTTGGTTGTAGCCATCGTTGTTTGGCAGGCCTGGGCTGGATTTGAACCCACCACCTTAGGTGTATGGGCTGGCACCTTAACCACTTGAGCCACAGGCACCGAGCCTGAAACAAAATTTTTTAAAAGATGGTGGTGTGGAATTGGCAAGGTGTGACACTGTAGGGCGCTCCAGGGAATCTCATACTCTGTGAATGACAAGAGCAACGGTCACGTTATTTCGGTCGGCAAGAGTGCACTGCCTACTGTGTGCTGGGCACTGTGCTTCTTTCAACCTCTACAGTCATCCTGTGAAATAGTCTTGTCATCTCCTTGGGGCATGTTTAATGAAAGTGATCAAGATTTCTGGCAATTGAGATGATAATTAATTAACATCTTTGATTTCTATGTCATCAAGAAGCTCAAAATATTCTGCAGACAGAAGCTTGAGTTAATTAAATCCTTTGAAATTAACTGACGGAGTTAGTCCTGTATGTTGCTGTGTTGACACTGAGGACACACACACACACTTTTTTTTTAATTAAGTCATTTGTACATAGATCATAAATAGATTTATGCCATTATGGGATTCAATGTGTTGATTATTTGTACAAATTGGAGTGCTTACATCCTACTAAGCAATATAGCCTTCACCACTTTGACCCAATTACGGGATTAAGACATTTATGCTCTACACCTGGTAGATCCAACTTGTACTTGCAATATGCTCCATGGGTGTGATCCCCTACTAACCCTCCCTCTATCGTCCCACCCCCCTCCCTCCCCCCCATGCTCCCCTTCCCTCCTTCATCCTTAGGCTATAGTTGTGTTTCATTTTTCATATGCATGTGACACACACACACTCCAGGCTGATGGGAAGGAAATCAAAGATGACAGCGTGTAATTGAAGGTCTCTCACAGTCTGGCTGCCTGTCATGGTGGTCCATACATGTCCTGTGTTTTGAAAATGGCAGGTTTTGGCTTGTGATCAATGAGGAGGGGAATATGGTCACTGCTCGCCAGGAACCTCGCCTGGTCCTGATTTCCCTGACATGTGACGGTGACGGTGACGCCCTGACGCTCAGCGCCGCCTACACGAAGGACCTGCTGCTGCCCATCAAAACGCCCACCACAAATACAGTCCGCAAGTGCAGGTAAGGAACAGGCCGGCCTGAGCCTTGGTGTGATTAATTATTCATGCAATTTTGAAAACGTGCGAACCATCCATCAGGGCATCCTGAGAGCATATCAGTGATTAACCATCGATTGCAGATGTGCCATGTGCAGGGCCACATCCCGACACCATAAAGACCTAGAAGAGGGAGAGGGAGGAAGCAGCTTCAGAAGCTTCTGTCGAGGGCATGGAAGACGAAAGTTCTAGGTGAAAGATACTTGGAAACGAAAGCATCCTGACATGCCCGCAAGAACAAAGTAATGCCATGAAGGATCAAGCACAAATATGGGGGGGAGAGCAGTGGCAGAGAGTGTCCCAGCAGAGGTGACGTTAGATTTATGTGTATCATAGGACTTTTCCTGCTTTGCTTGGAAAAGCTGAGTACTTTCCAAATCTGAGTTAGAAAAGGTGTTGCAAATAGCTACGACCCATGATGTTTAGTTCTAATGAGAGGAAGTTTCCAAAATAAGAAAAGAACAGCTGTAACCAGAAGAGTGATCCACCCTGCAGGTGCCCAGGGGTCGGTGTCAGGGTGAGGGTGGAGATTCAGCTGGGGGGGGGGTTCTCTGTGCTGAAACTCTTTCTTACAAGGAAGAAATTTTTCCAGGAAAACCACCTTTACCTCGAAGAAATCATGTCAAGGGTTGAATTTTTATCTCGTAATGGGAAAAATTAAAGTTTGATTTGATTATACTCTTGTTATGGTTTCCACAGAGCTATCATGACGCCACAGCATTCTACCCAGGGCAACAAAATTAGGCTCTGTCTCAATAAAATAAAATACAGTATGAATACTAAATGTAATTCATAGCCCATGATAGAAAATAAAAGCCTATTAAAAAATGCAGTTACCTGGGCAGCACCTGTGGCTCAAAGGAGTAGGGCGCCGGCCCCATATGCCAGAAGTGGTGGGTTCAAACCCAGCCCCGGCCAAAAATAAAAAAAATTTTAAAAAAATAAAAATATCTTTAAAAAAGATGCAGTTACCTGAAAAATATCCAAAGAATTTATGAAAAGTTCATATATTGTAATATCTATATAATTTCTATTACAGTATATCTGAGTTTCAAACATAGTATGTTTACATTGGAATTTTTCTTATTATAAAAGTAATGCCTATTCATTGTTGAAAAATTGAGAAATACCCAAAAAAAGGAGGAAAACAAAGACTGTGGTAACTATAATCAATACTTTGGCATGTTTTCTTTCTGTCTTTATGGCTAGTACTTTAAATGCCTAATTAAAATACGGGCAGTGCTTGGGTTACCCATAACCCAATTTATGAATGGGCCCCCAGGGCTTCCCATAAGGGTAATTTATAATTAAATAAATTAGTAATTTGGAAACTGGTTTCTTCCCGACGTGTTGCCCGGCGTGAGCAGTTCCCTGGCTCAGCGTCTTTACCCTAGCGGCCGTCTCTTGTTGATACATCACTGACCCACAGCATCACTTTGATCTTACCTGTTTTATTTGGTTTTGTGAACATGTGTTTACCCTGATGACCAGTCCTCCAGAGTGCAGGTGAGCCCGCAGCAAAGGGAAAGATGATTATGATGGAAATGAAAATAGAAATAATTGTCTGAAGAAAGCCCAAGTGCTGTCATTCCTTGGGAAAAGGAATTCAGTGGCTTGACTGCCAGAGCAATTATAAAGTGAGGATAAGGAGGAATTCTGAGGAAGAATTTGTGAAAGGCTCCAGTGGAAACATCAGTTATTACTAAGCAGTGTAGTATATTAATTAGTAAAATAGAAAGATTATTATTGATTTGGTTAATCACACTAACATTCCTATTAGCCTAGTTGCAACATTAAGTGAGTGTTAACCTTTAATATTCTTTTTTTTTTGAGACAGAGTCTCACTTTTATGGCCTGCCCTCATAGAGTGCTGTGTGTCACAGATCACAGCAACCTCCAACTCCTGGGCTCAAGCGATTCTCTTGTCTCAGCCTCTCAAGTAGCTAGGATTACAGGCACCCGCCACATCACCTGGCTATTTTTTGGTTGTAGTTGTTTGGCAGGCCCGGGCTAGATTTGAACCCGCCAGCTCCGGTGTATGTGGCTGGCACTATAGCCTCTGAGCTATAGGCGCTGAGCCTAATATTCTTTTTTTTGAGACAAAGTCTTACTCTGTTGCCCTGGGTGGAGTGCTATGGCATCATAGCTCACAGCAACCTCAAACTCTTGGGCTTGAGCAATCATCTTGCCTCAGCCTTCCAAGTAGCTGGGACTGCAGGCATGTACTACCATGCCCAGCTAGTTTTCCTATTTTTTAATAGGGGCAGGATTTTGCTCTTGCTCAGGCTGGTCTGGAACTCCTGAATTTGTCAAGTAATCCACCTGCCTCAGCCTCCCAGAGTGCTAGGATTATAAACCTGAGCCACTGGGATGGGCAAAATTCTTTCTTGAAATTTCTCCTATCTCCTACCTAATCTTTTTGGATGAATTGATTTTTATGTTCTGTTTGTTTGAATTAAAAGAAAGCATAATAGTTTCTGTAACTTATTGTAGTACAGGGGTGTTATTGTTATAATTATCGTATTACACTGTATTATTACTACTACATATGAGCCCTTATATTATTATTATTACTCTATATGCACTGTTTGTCAGGGATCTGAGTTACATACAAAGGTGACCTAAAGACATTCTAAGGAACTTATCTTAATGGTAACACAGAGACTGTAATACCAAAAAAACAAACAAAAAAAATATGAAAAAAACAGGAAAAAAACCCAAACAAAAAAAATCCTCTTTTTTTTTTTTTTAAATTTTATTTGAGACAGAGCCTCAAGCTGTCCCCCTGGGTAGACTGCCAGTGGCATCAAAGCTCACAGCAACCTCTGACTCCTGGGCTCAAGCGAGTCTCCTGCCTCTGCCTCCCAAGTAGCTGGGACCACAGGTGCCTACCACAACGCCTGGCTATTTTTTGGTTGCAGTCGTCATTGTTGTTTGGCGGGCCGGGGCTGGATTCGAACCCACCACCTTAGGTGTATGTGGCTGGTGCCTTAACCACTTGAGCCACAGGCGCCGAGCCCTCTTTTTCTTTTTGAGACAGATTCTCACTATGTTGCCCTTGGTAGAGTGCATGGCGTCACAGCTCATAGCAACCTCCAACTCTTGGGCTTAAGCAATTTTCTTGCCTCAGCCTTCTAAGCAGCTGGGACTACAGGCACCCACCATAATGCCTGGCTATTTTTTGGTTGCTGTTGTCATTGTTGTTTAGCAGGTCTGGGCCGGGCTGGAACCTCCCAGCTTGTGGGTATATGTGGCTGGCACCCTACTCACTGAGCTACAGGTGCCTAGCCAAAAAAATCCTCTTGAATGCTACTTATATATAATAGTTAAGTTGAGGCTCGGCACCCATAACTGAGTGGTGAGGGTACTGGCCTCATACACAGAGGATGGCAGGTTTGAACCGGGCCCAGGCCTTCTAAACAACAACAAAATAGCCAGGTGTTGTGGCGGGCGCCTGTAGTCCCAGCTACTTGGGAGGCTGAAGCAAGAGAATGGCTTAAAAACAAGAGTTTGAGATTGCTATGAGCTGTGACGCCACGGCACTCTACTGAGGGCAACATAGTGAAACTCTGTCTCAAAAAAAGAAAAAAGGTCGATATGTTAAGTATTTTTTTGTATTGTTAAAAAATCTTCAAAAATATCACTTTTCACATTGACCAATCATTTTATTCTGTGCGTGAGCTCTCATGCATTTTAACATACACCCACGATTAAACATCTGGATTATTTTTAATGTTTTCCACATATGAAGAGGAATGTCAGGAACATCTTGGTATAAATCTTTGTTCATTTATAACTCCTATCATTTCCTTAGGGAAAGGATGCTGCTAGCAGGGTTTTATGTGAAACGGGTATGAATCCTAAAGACTCGTGACACTGGGTGCTGAATTGTTTGCAGAATGGTTTTGCCAACATATATGGCCACCAGTTTGTGAACATATCTGTCAAATGCATTTTAACCATTATGTTCAAAAATACTGTGCCATTTTCATAGGCAAAAAAGGTAATTTCTTTTTAGTTTACTTTGCATTTTTGATTGTATGAGGTACATTTTTAGCATTCCTATTACAATTTGTATTTCATGTTTGTCTTTCCTGGTTAGATTTTAGCCAGACTTTATCATAGTTAAAATTTTCTCAAATTTAATTTTTAATTCATTTGTGCGAAAACTTTCTTCAGTCCTATATGGGCGCTTGGTCCGAAAGTCGCCAAATGGAAAGGTTTAGACATCTTACTGGTATGCAGACTCTGAGCGAAGATTCCTGGAGCTTGTGGACTCAGGTTCTTTTCACAGCTCAGGGCATTCGCTTGTGAAGGAGTTGTAACTTCAGCTCACAGTTTCCTAAGGATGTCTGATGAGCTCTTGGGGCCCTCGGGTCACTTTCAGAAGGTCATGATCACAACCAGTGTACCTGTTTTCATGGTTAAGCTTGTTACTTGGTCTTCTGCAAAACTGCACCTGCTACTAATGACATACAGAGAATTGGGGCCTTTTAAAACGGATTATCCAGGCAAACAGCTTCAAACCATGCATGCCTAAATTGCTTTGTGAAAGGTTTAAGAAGATTTGGAATCGTTTTTCTTTTCTTTCTTTCTTTCTTTTTTTGCTTGGACTCTTCTGGTTCCAAGAATATGACTGAGCTTGCTCAGAACTTGGCAGAAATAGAGGAGGATCAGAATAAAGACAAAGAACAAATGCTGTTCACTCAAAGGCCTCTAGTTCCAGGTGATCATAAACCTGAACCCCAGGACCTCTTATACATAAAGATTGTCATGGAAATCAGCGTCAGGTTACAGGACAGATGGTGAAATGGCCCGTGATAAATGGGGAAGCTTTAACTCAGTAAATATAGTTCCTACCACTGAAGCTCCAAGGAATCTCGGCACTTTGTTGTCCATCCCTTCCCCGCTGACCTTCCTATAGAAGCAACAAAGGAAAGGCCCAGGCTGCTGAGTGGCAGGGCCCATGGGAGGGTCCTTGGTGGGCTGTGAGGGTTTGACTCTGGGAAAAGGAGGCTGATATTTTTTGAAGAGGCATCTGAAAGCAGATGACCTTCAAAGCTGCCTCCATACATAGATCTTGGTAATGCTACCATTGCTCAAGGTACTTTCAAAATTAACATTTTAGACATTAAATGACACACACACTCATTTCTGGAAATCTTCACCCTCTTATGGTGAATCGTATTTTTGCAAAAATTGAAAACATCACGGGGCACTTAGTCCAGTGAATAGGGTGATCAGTCTATATAGGACCATTCTTTTAGTTTCAAATATGAGGTTGGGCTTAAAAGTAGTAATAAGTAGATACTAATACAATGTGGTAGTATTAGATTAGAATGTGTGTTACTTCCCAAGGTAACTGCTTTGGAAGATAATACCCATTTGGATGTAGGAATTTGTGCACCTTGATTTTATTTGTTTTATTTATTCTTCATCCTAATTCAGAAAAGGGTAAGGGAGATACTCCTGGTGTTTGTCGATAAATGGTCTCATCATGGCAAAGGTGTGCACCTGTATTCCGCCCTCTGCCTCTCGGGAGGTCAGTTTAGGATGGGGGGAGGACAGTGTGTGAAAATGCAGCAGGCCATGTACCATGGCAGGGTGTTTTTCTATGTGAATACTACAGGTCAATGAAAAGTTTTTAAAATTCATGAAAACTTTGAATATAACTAGTATCGCTGCTTAATGCAGTAACTGATACACTGTTAGTAATAATTTCTCATGTGTAAAGAGCCATTAAATAAAATTATATAAAAACAGAAGTCCCTATACTCTTACTATGTTCTACAATATAAAAATTCATTTATACATTGTTATTAGAGACTGATGCCTTTGTCTGATTAAATGTTTGGTTTGTGGAGTAACTATTTAATGACAGCTTGAAATAGCTTGGCAGGGGTGGGGGGAGACCCCTAGAATAATTACTGCTCCCTACTGAGCACATCCCAATACTAAGAATTGTTTGGGAGGACTTAAGATTGGCCCTAACCCTCACAACAAAGTCATGCTTTTATTCCCATTTTATAGATGAAGAAATTGAGTCTCAGCGTAAGAAAATATCACCAAGGTTTTAGACCTAGGCATCCCAAGTAAACCTCCATGCTTTCCCAAACGTTAGGCTTTTCAAGCTTTTGTATAACATCACCATGCTATAGGGCAAAACAACAAACTACCTGTACTCTTATTTGCTTAATATTTTTAAGTTGATTTAGCTTAAAAAAAAAAAAAAACCTTTAAGCACATTTTTTTTTGCGGTTTTTGTCGGGGCTGGGTTTGAACCAGCCATCTCCAGCATATGGGGCTGGCGCCCTACTCCTTTGAGCCACAGGTGCCACCCAAGCACATTTCTTTTAAAAGGAAAATCTAAATGGGGATATGATTTTCCCTGGTGTTGAAGGTAACTGAAACAATCCCTTCTCTTCACAAGAAAGTTACAAATTCTAGCTAGAAATTGTTGCCCACTGAGGTCTCTAGACCTGGGACCTCTCCTGTCTTTGTTAGAAGAGGTAGTCATCAAGTATCGCTAAAAGGTAAGGATTTATTATCACTAAGCTGAAGAGATCACTTGTGTGATCACTTTTGTTATGCAGTTATCAAATGCTGTATTCAGATGCTCCCTGCGGTTATCCTGGATATCCAGAGCAGTAATGGTCCTGCACTTTAGGAAACACTGGTCTACACTGCAGCCTTTATTTCTTATATACAGTTGTGAGATTCATGTAATCCCAAACAGTTCTGCTGGGGAAGTGGGACTTGGAATCTTACAGAGTTACTGCTAGCAATCAAATCCAGTGGATTGTTGTTATGTATAATGTAGACTTCGCAGGACATTCCCACATACATTGCTGTTAATTACTGGCAAAGTATAGGGAGGCCTATGAGTAAATTTCTGCTGGGTGAACCGGGTTTGGCAATAATTATTAGTTTCCTTAAAATGATAGGGTAGTTTTCTTCAACTCAATGCATTTTCAAATATATTGTCTCCTTTCAGCCTCCCTGCTTTCCTTTGGGGTAAGGAGACACTTGATTTTGAAAATGGAGAAAGGAAGGCTTTCAAAATGTTTTCATCTTCATTAGGGTTTATACTAAAATATGTCTTTGATAATTAGGGAGTCACAGCTTGGTGCAGCCTTTCTGATATGTCTCAGGCATGTGAGGATGTACAGATTTTCAGAGCTATGTGTGTCCTTTGCTCCTGTCACCCCTGCAGAGTGCACGGCCTGGAGATTGAGGGCAGAGACTGTGGCGAGGCTGCTGCACAGTGGATAACGAGTTTTCTCAAGACACAGCCCTACCGCCTGGTACACTTTGAACCTCACATGCAACCGAGACATCCTCACCACATAAAAGACGTGTTCCCGGCCAAAGAGCGGGTGAGAGGCACAGCTTCTTCCTCTGCAGGTGGTCAGCAGTCACCCCAGTCCGTCAGGCACAGGCAGTCAGCAGTCACCCCAGTCCATCAGGCACAGGCGGTCAGCAGTCACCCCCAGCCCATCAGGCACAGGCGGTCAGCAGTCACCCCCAGCCCATCAGGCACAGGAGGTCAGCAGTCACCCTCAGCCCATCAGGCACAGG